AGGCCGGGCAATGCTGGGCATGTGGCAGTAATCACTGCCCTCCAGGCTGCTCACAGTCTGGTGGGGGAGACAGAACTGTCCCCAGACCGTGGTGACACAGAGTGGGCAAAGCTGGGATGAGGGTAGCCCAGGGGGCTGCAGGAGCCTGGAGCAGACAGCTGACCCAGCCTGGGAGGTCAGGGAGGGCTTCTAGGAGGAGGGAATGTCTAAGCTGAGTCTGAAAAGATGAGAAAAAGGTATTTCAGTGTAAACAGAGCATGGACGCATGCGTCATGGATTTAGTTCCAAGCAACAGAAACCTCTGGGGCAGGGAGGGAATTGATTGAGAGTCCTCGGGATCACTCAGATTCCCAGGAGTGATTCGAGAGCCAGGATTGGAAAGTGATCAAGAACACGATGAGCAGCTGGCCTCCAACCAGAGCCCAGCCACAATCACACCACACCACACAATCACACCACAGAACCCGTCTGATGAGGATACGCTGGTGCCCCAGTGACCACTGCACCTTGGTCATCTCTCTGCCTCTGCTGCCCCAGAAACAGGCTGCGTCTGCTAGCTGTTACGTGGAACAAATCACACTGAAACTTATTGGTGAACAACAGTAATCATGGTTGCAATGGGCCAGGATTGGGGGAAGGGCTCAGGATTTGTGGGGGTTCTGGCTCAGGGTGCGATCAAGTGGTGCTTGCAGCAGGGCAGCTGGGGGCTGGACAGGCATCCCTCAGCAGTCTCAGAGCCTCTCTCCACATGGTCTCCACGCTTGCTAGTTTGCGCTTCCCCACAGCATGGCTGCCTCAGGGTAGTCAGACTGCTTATATGGTGGCTGAAGCCTTCCCAGAAAGTATTCCAGTGAAGCAGGCAGACGCCACATGGCTTTTTCTACCCAACCTTGGGAGTCATGGAGCGTCACTTCGTGCCGCATTCTAATGGTTACATGTGAGTCACAAAATTGCACAGATTTAAGAGGAGGGGACATAGACCCCCACCTCTCAGTGGAAAGAGTA